TTTCAGTGTACAAAGTGATCCCCCGATATTTCAAGTACCCATCTGGTACCACACATAGTTACTACAGTATCATTGACTACATTCCTTATGCTGTATTTTACTGCCCCTTGATTCAGAGCCCATTCATTCCTTTTTTAAAAAATATTTTTTATTGATTTTATTGATTTTCAGAGAGGAAAGGAGAGGGAGAGAGGGAGAGAGAGAGAGAAAAAAACATCAATGATGAGAATCATTGACTGGCTGCCTTCTGCACACCCCCTACTGGGATTCGAGCCCACAACCCGGGCATGTACCCTAACCAGGAATGGAACCAGCGACCTTCTGGTTCATAGGTCCGATGCTCAAGCTCTGAGCCAAACCGGCTGGGGCAAATCTGAATTTAATGCTTGAACAGCTTTCACAAAGTTACTATTTAGAAATAGTCTTGCAGTTTTAAAATTGGGAACTTGAAGGTGTATTTATCTAACCTTTACTGATGAGAAAGTAAGTTTTGTCGATGCTCAAGCTCTGAGCCACACCGGCTGGGGCAAACCTGAATTTAATGCTTGAACAGCTTTCACAAAGTTACTATTTGGAAATAGTCTCGCAGTTTTAAAATTGGGAACCTGAAGGTGTATTTTTCTAACCCTTACTGATGAGAAAGTTTCCCAAAGAGTGTTTTAAGGAATTTTCACTTTAGGGTGATGTTTAATAAGTACTGTAGAAAAAAGTACTGGAGTAAGTTTGGAGATACTAGATGAAACCAAAGAATTTCTTTACTGCAGAATTCTCAGAACTCATGATACGCTGATGTACATTATACATCGGGAAATGTATACAACATACAGCACTTCCCGTACTCGTTTGGCCATGGATCCTGGTGTGTTAATGAATCACGTGTAGATGCAAATTATGGGAAATGCTGGCTTATGTGATTTGCTCAATAACTAGTTAAAGGTGAGCTGCAGCTACAGTGCAGTTCCCATGACAGTGTGCTGTGTTTTTCTCAGACATTTCAGTATTACCCTAGAGAACAGCTTTCACTATGAAAATGCCCCAATTCTTATGGCCACATCTTACCACTGTTTTACATGTGGTGTGAATGAAATTCTAAATTTGGCGTAAGTATGCTAATAATTCCATTTTAGTTCAATGGGCAAATATTATGTAGAACAAATTTTAATTCCATGTGAAATTTATGGGCCTAGGAACATGTAATGAAATAACATTTTCCTGTTTTATTATCCCTTTTTATGTGGCTTTGAAATATTAAGAATACTTCATTTTAGCTTTCTTAGTTATGGTTCAGCTGTTATTTTGGTAGATAATGCTGCTTTAGAACTTAATCTATTGGAAAAGTAATGTTATAGTAAAGGTGCAACACTTTATATTCTATTATGAAAAAGAATGTTTGGAAAGTATTGCTAGTAACTACTTTTTGTATATTTCTAGATCAGGGTTGGCAAACTGTGGCCGATGGGCCAAATCCAGCTGTTGCCTGTTTTTGTATGGCCCACAGCCTCAGGTTGTACTTGTGAAAATTATCGGGGGGAAAATCAACAGAAGAATACTAATGTGTAATGTGTGAAAATTACGTGAAATTCAGATTTCAGTGTCCGTAATCAAGTTTATTGGCGCACAGGCACACTCATTCATGTATTGTTGTCTGTGGCTGCGGTGTGTTGAACAGGTGTGAGTGCAACCTGCTAAGCCTGAAACATTTATTGTCTGGCTCTTTTCAGAAAAAGTGTGCTGACCCCTGCTCTAGATTAATGAGCCATAGAATTTATGGTGCTATTTTATAAGGCAAAGTATATGAAATATAAGGAACTATGTTTTACGTGTAACCAATCTTTAAATAAGGGTCTTCTAATAACTTCCATTTATTTGACCTTGCTGATTCGATTCCCTTTTTTCTGGTAGAAGGTATGTTTTATTTTAACTTCAGTTGATTATCT